CTGGTACATGAGCCAGCTTTTTGAAGCCCAGTACCTATGGTGGGACACCTTGCGCAGCCTTGGGAACAGGGGCTTGGACCTGCTGAAACTGAATGTACCAAGCTCTGTTAACTCCCCATGGGAGGCCTTGCCTTAGAGGAGGTGGGAATGGGAGGTGGAATAGGGGAAAGGCTGAAGGGCAGGAGGAGGGAGGAGAGGGGAATCTGTGGTTGGTATGTAAAATGAACAGAAAATCTCTCAATAATAATAAAAAAGAGGGCTAGAAAGATGGCTCAGAGGTTAAGAGTACTGACTGTTCTTCCAGAGGTCCTGAGTTCAATTCCCAGCAACCACATGGTGGCTCACAACCATCTATAATGAGATCTGGTGCCCTCTTCTGGCCTGCTGGCATATATACAGGCAGAACACTATACATAATAAATAAATAAAATCTTAAAAATAATAATAATAAAAGAAAAAACAAAACAAAACAACAACAAAGAGTAGTTTGTTTCAACAGTGAGACTCTCTTGGAGAAAACTATTTTTTTTATTTGCAAATGGTTATTAATTGAAGGTAGATTCTGGGTTGTGAATGGGCTGTATGTCCACTTCTTTCATTCTAAGACTCCATCCGGTGAAGACCTGTGCTGGCTTGTGGCATGCTGCCACATTCTCTGGTATCATCTGTGCATAGGTCCTGATGTGCTTAGAAGGCCTTGTTTCCTTGGAGCCCTCCATTTCCTCTAGCTCTTACACTCTGTCTACCACCTCTTCTGCAGGGTTCTGAGCTCTGAGGGGAGGGATTTGATGGAGACATCCCATTTAGGGCTGAGCGCCCTATGTCTCTGACTGTCTGCCTATTGTCTGTCTGTTTTCACCTGCTGCAGGAGGAAGCTTCTCTGATGATGGTTGAACAAGGCACCGATATATGGGTATAACAGAGTGGTTCTCAACCTTCCTAATGCTGCCACCCTTTGATGCAGTTCCTCACGTTGTGGTGACCCCAACCATAAAATTATTTTCATTGCTGCTTCACAACTGTAATTTTGCTACTGTTATGAATCATAATGTAAATATCTGTGTTTCCTGATGGTCATAGCTGAACCATGTGAAAAGATCATTCATCCCCCAAAGAGGTTGTGACCCATGGGTTGAGAACCACTGGTATAGCAGAATGTCTTTAGAAATCATTTCATTGTCACACTCCTTTTGTATAATAGCAGTAATTAGTTTTCCCTTAGGTCTCTGATCAACTAGTCTCAGGATCTTCGTCACCCAAGCAGTGCCAGGTATGGGTTCCATCTCATGGAGCAGGCCTTAAACCAAATCAGATACTGGTTGGCTCCTCCCACAAGCCTTGTGCCACCACTGCACTGGTGTCTCTTGCAGGAGGGACACCACTGTAGACTCAAGGCTTTGTAGCTGGGTTGGTGTTTACCTTTGTCCTCTGGTAGCATGCAAAGTAAATTCTGGTACCAAGAACACTAGCACATATGGATGAAGGTTCTGTGTAGACACCAGCTCAACGTCTCCATGCTCCCTGAATTTTGTAGCTGTTGTCTACAGCAATGTGGCCTTGCTGTCAGTTTGTGGAGAGAAACCTATGGTTTTGGCAACACCCTGAGTTCCTTGGAGTTTCTCATGGGACCTCTTTGTCCCATAACTCGATTAGATGTAATCCATTCCCAGTACTGGGATCTTCATTTGGTAAAAGAGATGTCTAGATGGGGCTCTGTCTCCCCTATTATTGGTCAATTGCATTTGGATCACCTTCATATATGTACATACTTAGGAAGCTTCTACTGTATTAGGTTTCCAAGTGACCCCTAAAATGGCCCTCAATTTTTGTTGTTCCTCAACATCTTCCTTTGCTCATCTCCCTCTTTCCTCCTTTTCCCTGTTTTATCCTCCCATTTCTTCACTCTTGTTCAACCATAACTATCTATTCTAGTTCCCTTTCCTAGGGAAATCATTCCTTCTACCTAGTCCCTTACCTGTACATAATCTCTTTGGTTCTACAGATTGTAACTTCGTTATTATTGACTTCACAGCTACCAGCTGCATAAAAGTGAATACATACCATATTTGTCTTTCTGGGTCTGGGTTACCTCACTTGGGTTTTTGGTTTTTTTTTTAGTTCCATCAATTTACCTGTGAATTTCGTTCCTTTTAAAGGTTGAGTAGCACTCCCTTGTGCAATTGTACCATCCTTTCTTTATCCATTCATCCACTGAGGGGTATCTAGGTTGATTCCAATTTCTGGCTGTTGTGAACAGGGCAGCAAGGAACATGGGTGAGTAAATGTCTCTGTGATAGAATGAAATATCCTTTGGGTATATGCTCAAGAGTAGTATAGCTGGATCTTCAGACAGAACAATTCACATCTTCCTAAGGAAGCTCCACACTGATTTCCATAATGGCACTCTCACCAACAATGAATGAGCATTCCCCTCACTCCAGCAACACCTTCGTGTTTACAATACAACCTAAGAATTACAAGGTCCCCACCAGAAGCTTCCTGGCAACTTCATTTGCAACCCCAAACGGGGAAGAGAATAAAAGCGGAGTTAGATAGGAGCTGGAAGAAATCAGAGAAGGAATTTATGTGCTAGAAATCTATCCTTACTGTGGTTAGGTGAAAACATTCCGAGCCTATCATAAATGTGCTCAAACTACAAACGGACAGGTGATAGGGTAAAGATATCTATAAATCACTAAAAATAAAACTGCCACTCTTTTTCTCTGCAACCAGTTTCCTGACAGGGCGGGGGAGGAGTACTGCTAGCTAGTCAATTTGCATCACAGCTTGAAGCACCAGGTGAGAGGAAATCCTGTTTATCTAAGAAGTTGCTCTGGGACCTCGGAAGACCTGAACTTGATTTGCACAATAAACAAAGCTATACATCTGGTAGCCTGTTAGTCTCCTAGGCTCAGCAGGAAAGGTAGTACCTAGTGGAACAGAGTCTGAGAAGCTTACCTGTTTGCCAAAATGGTTTGGAAGTATTTGGGCACGCAAGAATTTCATAGCAGATAACAGCTGAAATGTTTAAAACTGTATAACACCAAATATTCAAAATAAATGGCTTGCCTTTTGACAGACCCATGGCTGGGAAAAGGACAGCTGTAATACACAGCTGAATCTCTTAATATATTCTTGCAGCCCACAAGACCTAGTAGCCTTGGGTCTGTGTCATGACTTCCGTGCTGAGGGGAGGGACTGCTCGCCGGTGCCCACACCACCAGGGCCAGCCTCTACTGCACTGCCCACAAGGTACACAGGCTACTTTCCCAAGTCCAGGTGTGGGGCCAGCTCTCCTACAGGCAGACCACCAGGGCTAGCTCCACTGTGCTTCCCAGGGGAGGCTGACTCTCCCAAGTGCTGCAGCTGGTGAGGGGCAGGTCAGAGCCAGTTCTGTGCAGCCCTCAGACATCAACATGGCCCCAGGAAGCAGCCTAGACCAGGGTGTTCACATGGCCTTTGGTGGTGACATGGGGCACCAATATCATCCCAGACCCCTGCTGCTGCTGCTGCACAGCCATGGACCCTGACATGGCCCTCAGTGGCAGCACAGGCCTGGACACCACCATGGCCTCTGGTGGCAGTGCAGGCTACTCACATCAGGCTGTTCCTCAACATTCTTCTCAAGTCTCCAGTTCTGCCTCTCTCCATAGTATCTAGTACAAAACAAAACAAAAACCCCTGGTTTGTAGTATTTTGTTACTTTTTTTTTTTTTAATCATAGCACGAGCAGACTAGCACATTAGTAGTGGATTAAAGAGGAACCCCTGAAAGCCCAGGACTAAGCTGTGGAGAAAGTGAGAGTATCTGATCAAGTGTCCATTTCCCAGGAGCTCAGAACTGCTGGGGAAAGTGGCATGGACCACATGGTGACCTCTGCTGCTTGACAAAATTCCATCAGCTGACATGACAGATCACAGCTCTCCACTACCTTTTTACTTTCATTTTTAATAATTCTCACAGCCAGCTGCAACGCCAATCCAAAGAACTGCATATCCTCTTATAACCTACAAAGTTAAAACACCCATGTACACACAATAAAAGAAAAAAAATGAGGAAAAAAAGATTTAAAAATTAAATAATTCTTTTCATCTTTTTTCCTAATATATTTAGAGTTAATTAATCTTATAGGTGTGAGGAGCCCTAATGAATACATGGGTTACTAGGGATATATACTTTTGCTTGAATGTATGTCAGAATTCTGAAGAAATAGGCTGTAATGCCAGTGAAGGAATGGACATGGTAGTTAGAAGAAGAAAAAGCATGCAAAGAGAGGACAAGGTTCCTTAATCCATGCTCTTTATATAGACTGCCAGCAGGAGCTGTGGGACAGATCAAAGATGGATCATATGAGCACTGGGAAGAGGACTTGGTCTGTTCAGCAACAGAATATATTATCTGTAGGACTGCACTGGGCAGCTAAAGAGCCCTCTGCAGCTTGCTAGTTTACCTGCTGTGAGTGTGGGGAAGTGTTTCTGCATGGCTCTGCACAGGAATCCTCCCCATGCTGTCCCTGCTGGGTAGGAAATCTTGAGTGTGCAGCAGCTGCCCTGAACTGCAGCTTCCTTCCTGTTTCTTCCTGTTAGTGCCTAAGTCCAACTCCAGAGGAATATTCCAATTCTGTCCCTCACCTTTTTTTCCCTACACTTTGGGCCACACCTGCCAACTAAAACAAATCCCAGCCTGGAGTAACTGCAAGAGGAGCCCATGGAGAAGGCTTTCTTTCTTCAGGGGCAGCTTTCCCGAGGGTAAGGATCTTAGGGGTGATTGTGACATGAACCTGAACAAGTGACATAAGTTTCTATAACACTGAAACATGTTTCAAGCTCCAGAAAGGCAGTGCTGACTCAAGGCAACTGACGCCCTCTGGTGGTTGAACCGCATACACCGATGTGGTGGCATCTCATTGGTTGGTAGCTCTGTAGTTTCTCTTTCTCAGTTCCAGCCCTCAGTCTTCACTTTCATTTCTCTCCTGGTTCACCAGAGATCAGACTTAGAGACTGAATCCTCAGGATGTTTACTCTGGCCTCCATTCGCTCCTGTCCACAGGTTCAGGATCTCTTGGTTGGTGTCTGAAGGTGTGAGAGCAATTTAGAGGGCAGAGTTTGGAGGAATTGAAAAGAAAACACCATTCCTTTGGTGAGTTTAATTTGAAACTGGGAAGCAGGAGGGATGGGGAATACTGCTGGCTTCCTGCTGAGTGCTGGGGGTTGGGGATGGGGGGGGAGCCTGATGGAGGAGAGGCTTTAGAAAGACAGGTTTCAAGAGCCAGAGAGGTCCAGGTATTTCTCCAGATGGAGTTCACTCTCTTCTTTCCTCATGTTTAATTTTGGATTGCATCAAGAATCCCCTGTTGCAAAACAGTCGCTGCTGTCCATCCATGTTCTGCCACCTCCCCCCCAATGAAGAAGTAAAGGCAGAATGGTGTTTGAAAACAGAGTTTAAGGTCTCTCTGTGTAATGGTGAATTACCCATGATTCTATGGGTTCGTTCCCTTTGCTGCTGTCTCTGTGACTGGAAGTCCCAATCTTGCTGCAGCCTCTTATACATTTCCTTGTCCTATGAAACAGCCTCAGGCCTGTACAGAATTGCTAATGTTACTCAGAAGTCATTACATTTGCCTGCCTTTCCCTTGGTCCATGTCTGCCATGCCCAGATGAAATTCAGTCCAGACTAGTAATTCCAGCTACAAAGAAAGCTGATGCAGGAAGATCCTAAGTCCAAGACCTGCTGGGGGACCTATTAAGGCCAAGTCTGAAGAAGAAAAGGGAAATATCAAGAAGGTGCAGCTTATTGGGTGAAGTTAGTGGTGGGGGTGGGGCATTAAGCCCAGGATTCAATCCCATAGAAAGAGACAGAGAAGGAGGTGACGGGGAAGGAGGAGAGAGAGTGTGAGAATACTGGGAGAGCACACTTTCTGGAAGTGACAGCTTTTCTGTTTCTTTTTGGACAGATTGCCCTTATATAGCCCAGGGTAACCTCATGTAACTGGCCTGTATCACCCTCCCCAGACATTGGGATTACAGGTGAACATTGCAGCCCTGGGACTTGTGTCCCTTTCAAGAATTAGAATAAGCTCCAGATTGATTTTAATGGTGTGAAAGACTGAAAGATGTCTGCTGTTAGGAAGATCTTGAGAGCCATGTATAGCCGGAGAGCTTCTCTCCAGGTCCCACCAAGCCCCCGCGTCCCACAACCCATGTAGAAAATAATCACTGAGACGCTTATATTACTTATACACTGTATGGTTGTGGCAGGCTTCATGTTATCTATTTCTTTTATCTTAAATTAAACCATTTCTATTAATCTATAAGTTGCCACGTGGCTTGTGGCTTACCGGTACCTTACATCTCGCTTCTCACGGCAGCGGCTGGCAGGCCTCTTTGCCTCAGCCTTCCACTTCCCAGAATTCCCTTCTCTGCTTGTCCTGCCTACACTTCCTGGCTGGGTACTGGCCCATCAGCATTTTATTTATACAGAGGGATATCCACAGCAGACATGAAAGGACAGGGAGCAGGGAATCCCAGCTTCACCCAAGCTAATGTAGATGCCAGAGGACACAGGCCAGGTCTCTGTATCCAGGTTGACTTCGAGGATTGTCATGAGCCCATCCTCTTTCCCTTTGCTCTCTCCTGCTCTTAATCAGTTGTGTCTTCTGAACTCAGCCATTGACTCTCTCTACCGCCATATGTTATGGGATATTAAAATGCGCATATTTGTGTTTTCCACTGTTAATTTGCCACAGGGAGGAAGTACACCTTAAGTTGCTCTGTGTAAGCCTGGGACAATTTATTTGCCCAGCCTCTTTGTAAAAGGACTGTTTCTCATATGACATTGTACTCTGAAGTTTCATAAGAAACACGTTAACTTGTTACAGAGTTCACATCCAGGAGGAAAAGACTACACACTCAAATTATAATTAAATGAATTTATTAACTACTGCTAGTAGGCCAACAACAGCCTTAAAGACAAATCAAGAGCTGTAGCAGGGTCCTTGCTGTTGTTCCCTTTGGGGGCGGGGCCAAGTAGGCACAGAGTCAAACCACACAGACTCCGGGGAAAATGTAGAAACAACAAGCTCAGTTTATTCAGGAAGAGGCAAGCCTTATATACGCTCCACCCCACCCTGGGGGGAGTTCTTGTTACACAGAAGAGGCTGGAGGAGGGGTTTTTAAGGTGGGCAGCACAATTATCTCATTTGTGTGGAATGTGTAGCTGAGGGAGAAACTGTTTGAACTCCCCTCAGGTGTGTTGAGCTCTGTCCCTGCTACACAGCAGTAAACAGGTTCACAAAAGCCAGAGGAAACACTTCATCATCTCATAGCACTTTTACAATTACGGGAAGTGTAGCAAGGAGTGAGAGTTGCCAGGAGCTTGTCTTTGAGGAATTTAGACTGGGTGTCTAGCACAAAATGGAGATTTCCTTAGCCATCACAGACTCCAATCACAAAAGAAACAAGCTGTCTGCAGCCAGATTGTTTGAATTGACCAAACCTAGTTATCATTCCTTGTTGACTCTTTAAAATGTGATTTATTTGGCTGAAATTGAGGGGCTTTGAGGGAGGATGTGGAAACCTAATGCAATGGAGACCGCCTAAAATACATTAAGGCGATCGATCTACTGAGGTCTCCTACTAATGGGTGATATGGAGTCTCAACAGGCAATGTCTTGTCATCAAAGAAGGCTTCCATTGGTAGGACTGGGGTGTATTCAGTTGAGATCTTGATCAAGGATGTCATATGGAAGTCCCCAACCAACCCAGGCTGTTGCTAAGATATAGGGTTGCCCTCTAGAAACTGAAAGTGGATTCTCATTGCCTAGGACAACACCCACAGAACTCATTGAACGTGAAGAAGTTGAGCTGGTGCCTACCCAGAGACTACATCCCTACATCTAGGCTCTGGTACAGGAAGGTACTCTGCAGGCTACCAAATGCAATGTAAACACCAACCAGGTCACAAAGCCTTTACCTACAGCTGTCCTGCCTGTAAAATATGCTGGGGCAATGGTGGCACGGAACTTGTGGCAGTCGCCAGCCAGTGTCTGATTTGACTTAAGGCCCTCTCCACCGGAAGGAACCCGTGCCTGACACTGCCCTGGTGACCGAGAACCAGAGACTGGGTAGCCCAGAGGTCTAGGGTAAAAACCAAACATTATTGGTCTGAAAAGAAAAAAGAAAAACTCAAAAACAAGCAAACACAATTTCATTGGTTTGAGTTGTGTGTTTGTGGGTCTGCCTGTGTGTATGTATGCACATCTGAAAGGATGAGTTGAATGGTCAGAGCTGCTGGATTCTCTGAAGCTGGAGTTACAGGCAACTGTGAGCTGCTTCATGTGGGTCCCAGGAACTGAACTTGGATCTTCCGTAAGAGCCGTAAGCTCTCTTAACCACTGAGCCCTTTCTCCAGCCTAAGTAGTATGTCAATTTATTGATTCATTTATTTATTTTGATTTAATGTTATTTTATGTGCATTGGTGTTTTATCTGGACATAGGTCTGTGTACCACTTGAATGCCTGATGCTCATAGATGCCAGAAGAGGGTGTCAGATACCCTAGAAATCTATTTACAGACAGTTGTGACTCACCTTGTTGGTGCTGAGAACAGAACCAAGGTCCTCTGGAATTGCAGCCAAT